AATAGGAATCTATAGTAAATAATAGGGTTTCCTTGTAATGGTAATCTCTTAACAAGAACCCAGGAGCTGTGGCCTGAGCTCACGGAGGCTCCTGATCCTTTCCGTCGGCTCCTCCTCCACGCAGGCGTAGGATTAGGGTTTAGGGGTTTAGGGCTTAGGGCTTAAGGTTTAGGGTTTAGGGTTTAGGGCTTAGGACTTAGGGTTTAGGGTTCAGGGTTTTAGGGGTTTAGGGCTCCTCCACGCAGGCGTATGACGCTTCTGGCCTCAGCTTCTCGGTTCACGCGGGCACGAAGGTTTGCTCCCGGGAGGCCTTGCTGGAACTGGAGCAGAAGCTGAGAGCTGAGGGCCAGGACTACGAATGTGTTCTGCTGATCAACTCGATAGGCTTCGCGGTGAAGCCCGAGATCACCCAGCTGGTGGACCTGAAACTGGGTTCTTGTTAAGGGGATTTAATTTAAGTTACCATTAGAAGGAAACCCTATTATTTACTATAGATCCCTATTATGGTGACTTAAATTAAATCTCTTAACCAGAACCCAGGAAAGACTTGGAGGAGTCCCCGGAGCTTCCGGGAGTTCCGCCCTTGAGGGCTTGCCTTGAGAGGGCCCTGCCCAAGGCAGAGAAGAAGGTTCTTAGTCGTCACAAGGGCATCAAGGGGTACCAGTGTGCTCAGTTGATCAACGACTTCAGCATGGCTCTGGCTGAGGGCGCTCTGGCTGAGCATGCCGCGGATGTGATTGTGGATTGGGGTGGCGCCAGTTTCAAGGTCTTCCTGAAGGGCCGGAAGATCGGGTCAGAGCGCATGGATGCCAACGAACTCCTCTGCAGCAGCGGGGAGCTGGACAAGAAGCGTCTACAGGAGCTGATCCAGCAGATCGAGACGAAAGTAAACAAGCTCCTTGAGCAGGAAGCTCTGCCAAGCGAGTGCAAGGTGCTGATTGCGCAGACAGGCCGGGCTCGCGAGCTATATTACCGCAACCTGCAGGCCAGTGAGAGCCAGGTCGGCCAAAAGCGCAAACTCCAGGAGTAGTGAGCTCGGCGCGGCGCACAGTGCCCGGGAGAGCCTAAATTGATAGAGAGCTTCAGCATGCCTTAAGGTCTATGCTGCTTGCCTAAAGTGGCTAAGTTTGGGCCGGGCTCTTTCGGCATTGCATGGCGGAAGTCCAGGGAGCTGCAGCAAAAACGCGTCTTGATTCGTGGCAACTGGCCGTCGTTTCTGTCTGCTGTCCCGAGCATCCCGGAAGGAAATCTGTCCTTATGGGGAATCCTGGGTAGTATTAGGGAGACCCCTCAAAGGGGACCCTTCTTAACCCTGCTTGTGGCTCTCTTAAACGGGACCTCATTGAGAGGGTCGATATCCCCAAGGGGTCCCCATAATCCTAACTCCTATCCTTATCGGGAAGCGTATCCCATGGGAAGGACCTTGAGATCAATCCTCATCTGTTGCGGACTCTATAGGACTAAAATTCGGGTGACTCTGTCCATAAGTAGTACTACTATTCCGTAGGGTTACAAACCCTAGAGAGGGCGCCAAAGCGCGCCAGACAGCCCGCATGGCCCTCGCAAAAAATTCCGTAGGGTTCCGTATTCTAAAGATATAATATACCCTCCCCACCCTTTTCAAAATATGAGGGCGCCTACATTAACCCGACTTCTTGACTACTTGCTACAGCTTTTCCGCCTGCACTTCAATCTTTAGGGACACAGGGTTTACATGCACCTAAGCCCTGGACCATAAACCCTCAACCCTAAGCCCTATACTCGAGACGTTGCGGCAGATCTAAAAATAGTAACCCTAAGCCCTAAACCCTCAGCCCTGAATAGTAGGTGTTCAAGACAAAGCCCTCTAGATGACCCGACGCCCTGCTCAGGGCTCAAACGAGCGTTCTTGGCTTCAGCTGGTTGCCAAGGCTGGGGGGCCCATGGGTTTTGCCTTCACGGCCGCTTTCGGGTTTCGGGCGCTTACTTGGGCTTTGGGGCTTTCTACAGTTCGGGATCCAGGGTCTGAGTTTTCGGGTCTAGCACTTGGTCTGTGCAAGTAAAGCATGCGGTTAAGGGTTTAGGGTTTGAGGCGTAGAAATCCATCAACATGATCGAGTATGCAGTGCTTCTTCAAGGAATTTCGGTAAGTTTTCTGGGGGTGTTCAGCCCAGAAAGTCTTGGAGAGTACGCACATCCGAGACCCTTAATCCAGAATTCGCAGGACTCATCAAGAACCATTTCAACCCGAATAGACAGCCACCCTAAACCCTAAACCCAAAACCCTCAGCCCTATTCCCTCAGCCCTTTGCCCTAAACCCTGTACCCTAAAGCCTAAACCCCAAACCCCTAAACCCTAAGCCCTAAACCCTATACCTTGAACCCTAAACCCTAAATCCCTAAACCTTAAACCCTAAACCCTATACCTTCAACCCTAAACCCAAAACCTCAAAACCCTAAGCCCTATACCCTAAACCCTATATCCTAAACCCTAAACCCTATACCCTAAACCCTATACCCTAAACCCTATACCTTGAACCCTAAACCCTAAGCAGTCCCTAGCTAGATCCCTGATGGAAGCAGCGGAGCTGCAGGTCGCCACTTCAAAGGCCCTGGATCCAACTTGCTCAGCGTCGCAAGTTGCGGTGGACTTCGGTTTAGGGTTTAAGGTTTAGGTTTTCGCTGTGAGCAGCGCCTCCGCAATTTGGAGGAAGTGGTGACGGGGCGGGCCCGACGTTCGCCGCACCGGCCTTGGCGGAGCTTGTGAAGAAGCAGCGGCTTCTAATGAAGAAGCAGCGCTCCGGCCTGCGAGGGATGTTTTAGAGAGATCGTATAGCACAGGGCATTTTTTGCCATTCGGGAGCTCAAGGCCGTGCCCAGGCCAAAAAGCGAAATCCCGGCGCCGCGCCGGCCCTTCTAAGGCACGAGCAGACTGGATTAGCGCCCGTTATTGCTTCACTCCTTGCGGCAGGGCCAAAGGCGAAGGAATGCGAAAGCAAAAGGCCTGGTGTCGAAGGATTATCGGCCTTCACCCTTAGCTCCGGGTTTCGGGTTTGGGGTTTAGGGTTTCGGATTGAGGGTGTAAGGTGCAGAGCTTAGCTCGGAGGGTTTGGCGGGGTTAGGGCTTCGAGTTGATGTTGTGGTGAAATGAGGGAGTTCCTGATGCAGAACATGTGTAGCAGGACCCTTCGAACAAGGGTCCCCCTTATAAGGTACCAAGAAATGCCCATGTAGGCCTTCGGCCACAGGTTGTCCCAAACCCTGAACCCTAAACCC